ACACAAACAGCAACAGAGAGAGAGAGAGAGAGAGAGAGAGAGAGAGACAGACAGACAGACAGACAGACAGACAGACAGAGAGAGACAGAGAGAGACAGAGAGACAGAGATAAATAGACAGATAGATATCTATTATCTCTCCGTGTTTCACTTGCTTCACTCTCTTACACTGTCCGAGCGGGCCCCACGTAGGTACGAGCACGGAGAAGCGTCGTTTGTCCTGGGCGGTGGTCCGGCTGATGTATGGGTGGGCCCCCGTGATGATGAAGAACATGGCACCGGTCATGACGAAACACCCGACCAGCTGACGATCAGACAGAATGCCTGTTCGTTGGTTATTTGTTTACTTGTGGGGGGGGGGGATTTGACACTGGACCCACCAACCGTCCTAACCGTTGTAGGGGAAAATTTGAGGAAGAATAGGGCAGATAGCGGTTCCCACACCCTAGGTAGATTGAAGGAGAAGGGGATCCAAAAAGGAGAAGAGGAACACAGCCACCTGTGGGGACCAGTCCTACGGATCTCCAACCAGATTATGATGGGGACTGTGAGCACACAGACTCTGGGATGGATTTTGAAGAGGAAAGGGAGGGGGAGGAAGGAGGAGAGATGGACATGTTCCGACGGTAGTGCTCCCAATACTGGGGACAAGGATTGACAAGGGTTGATTATTTGTTTATTTGGTTGTTTTGTTGCTTGTTTGGCTGACGGTTTGTTTGTACGGGCGGATCCCCACGATGATTTGGAACGTGGCCTCCAACATGAGGATACACCCGACCAGCTAACGATCACACAGCACCACCATCACGAACAGCAACAGCAACAAAAACACCACCACCACCACCACCACAAGCAACAACATTATGAACAAAAGCGCCACCATCACCATCACCATCACCATCACTACAAACAGCACCAACAGCATCAACAACAACAACAACAACAACAACAACAACAACAACAACAACAACAACAACAACAACAACAACAACATCAACAACCTCAAAACAACAACAGCAACAAAAAACCACCACCACCAACCAGTAGCAGACAGTTGAAGAACTTCATCAGCTTGGAGTACTGCCAGTGTAGACACTTGTACATCTTATCAAACGTGTCGGGCCAGCCTGGGGTGTGGATCACCTCACTGTGGTTCCTCCCAGTTGACTTCCGGCCTGCTTCTTTCAAGTCCTCGGAGCTGCTCTCAGACAAGTCAGTACTAACCGTTTCCACAGGCTGTGGATATCCTTCAAGCTGGGGCCCTCGGGGAGAGCTTGCCCGAGAGGCAGCAGTCATTGTTGATGATCGCCCACGATACAGTGGCTCGTGGGGGGTACTGGCGAGAGCCTCTGGGGAAAGAAAGTATAACATAATGTTAATCTATAGCTGATGATGATGATGATGATGATGATGATGATGATGATGATGATGATGATGATGA